AATATCAATCAAGACCATCTGATCTAATGTGTTATTTAAGTTCACTGTTTCCTTGTTGGTTTTCTGTCTGGATGATCTATTCATTCTCTCACTAATACTCTATTACTGTCGATCTCTACCTTGATGTCTATCAATATTTGCTTTATATATTTAGATGCATAGATGTTTACAAGAGTTATATCCTCTTGTTGGATTGATCCCTTTATCATTATGAAATTTTCTTCTCTGTTTCTTATTAAAGTCCTTGTTTTAAAATTTATTTTGTCTGATTTAAGTATTGCTATGCTAGCTTTTTATTTGTTTCCATTTGCATGAAATATCTTTACCATCCCTTTACTTTCTGTCTGTCTTTTGATTTGAAGTGGGTCTCTTGTAGGCAACATATATACCAGTCTTGTTTTTTATCCATTCAGCCATCCTATGTCTTTTGACTGGAGCATTTAGTACATTTATATTTAAAGTAAATTTTAATAGGTATGCAGTTATTTACATTTTATTGTTTTCTGATTATGTAATTCTTCTCTATTCCTTTCTTATTCTCTTGCTGTCTTCTCTTGTATGATGCTGATGACTTCCTATAATGTTGTGGTTTTATTTCTTTCTCTTTTTTTCTTGTATATCCCTTGTAGGTTTTTAGTTTGTGGTTACCATGTGCTTAATATATACCAACCTATGTTTATAGCAGTCTATTTTAAGTTGTTGGCCTCCTAAGTTTGAACACATTCTACAACCACTACAGTTTATATTCACCCACCCCACATTTATGTTTTTATCATTATTTTTTACTTTTGTGTGTGTTTGTGTGTATCCTTAAATTTATGGTTGTAATTACACATGATATTCCTACTTTTGCCTTTTAAACCTTTGTACTAGCTTTATAGTTGGTTGATCCACTACTTTTACTAAGTGTCTTTGTTAGTGATAATTTTTTTCTTTCCTTTATTATCCACATTTTTTATCTTTTTTACTTAAAGAAGTCTCTTTACATTTCTTGTTTAGTAAACTATTTACATCACTTGTTTAGTGGTGATGAACTCCTTTAACTTTTTTTGTCTGGGAAGCTCTTTATCTCTCTTTTGATTCTAAATGATAGCCTTGATAGAAGAATCTTGGCTGTATGTATTTGCTTTTCATTACTGAATATTTCATGCTAATCCCTTCTGGCCTGATTTTTCTGTTGAAAAATCAGCTGATAGTCTTATGGGAGGTCCCTTGTTTGTAACTAACTGCTTTTCTCTTGCTGCTTTTAAGATGCTCTTTTTATATTTAACTTCTTCATTTTTATTATGATATTTTATATCATTTTATTATGAGGTGGGCCTCTTTAGGTTCATCTTGTTTGGGACTCTCTGTATTTTCTGGACTTGTATGTATATTTTCCTCGCCAGTTTAGGAAAGTTTTCAGTCATTATTTCCTCAGATATGTTTTCAATCTTTTGCTCTCTCTTTTCTCCTTCTGGTACCCCTATGCTGTGAATGTTTGTTTGCTTGATGTAGTCCAAGACCCCTTAAACTATCCTCATTTTTAAAAATTCTTTTTTTCTTTTTCCTGTTATGATTGGATGTTTTCTGCTACCTTGTCTCCCAGATCATTGATTTGATCCTCTGCTTCTTCTAATCTGCTCTTGATATCCTCTAATGTATTATTCTTCATTAGTTACTGTATTCTTCATTTCTCACTGGTTCATTTTTATGGTTTCTTTCTCTCTGTTGAATTTCTCAAGAAGTCCTAAGTTTATTGAGCTTCTTTATAACTAGTGTTTTGAACTCTATCTCTGGGAGATTGCTTGTCTCCATTGTGTTTACTTCTTTTTCTGGAGATTTGTCCTGTTCTTTCATTTGGGGCCTGTTTCTTTGTGTCCTCATTTCGGCTGCCTCTTTTTGCTTGTTTGTATATATTAGGTAGATCTGCTACATCTCTCAGTTTTGGCAAATGGCCTTATGTGCTAGGTGTCCTATGGGACCCAGCAATGTGGTCTCCCTGTTCACCTGAGCTGGGTGCTCCAGGGGTTCTCATTGTGTGAGCTCACCTGTTGTAGTTGAGTCTTGATTGGTGTTGGCACATCAGTGGGTGGGATTGACCCTCAGGCTCACTGGCTGTGAGGGCTGGCCATGACTACAGAGGACAAGCTGTTATGTAGGGGCTGACCCCATGGAGCAGGAGCAGGAGCAGGAGCAGGAGTCACTTTAGCAGGGCTCTGGTGCCAGCTGAGTCCATCCCTCATGTGTGTCATTTGTGGAGCTGGTCGGATGGTGCTTTGGTGGGGTCTGAGGCCAGTCACCAGGTGTTTTGGTTCAGGCGCCTCTTGGGAAAGGCTCTGATGCAGGCCAAGGTCAGCTACCTTTTATGCCTGGCTTGGGGCCACCTGGTGGGAGCTACAAAGTGATCTGCAGTTAGTTGCAGCTTGTGCTGGGCTTGGAGGTACTTGGGAGAGGCTATGCTGTGAACTGAGCTGCAACTAGTGCCAGGCTTGGGACCCTTGGGTAGGCACCACAATGTGAGCTGAGGCCAGCTGCCACTTATGCCAAGCCACTTATGCCACTTGTGGCCACTTAATTGAAGTTGCATTCCAAGATATCACTGGCTGCAGCTTATGACAAACTTTGGGCCACCTGATGGGAGTTGCAGTATAAGTTGAGAGGTACCACTGCTTGTGCCGTGCTAGGGGATGCTTAGCAAGAGATATAGGGCATGCTGATGCTAGTCACTGTTTGTTTGGGGTGTGGACCTTTGAGAGATTTTAGGAAAGTCCACAGCATGAGCCGAGGAAGGCTGCTTGTATGAAAAAGGCTCTGGAAGCAGCTCCAGCTGGAAGCGCTAAATGGGTGAGACAGGGTTTCAGGGAATCTCCAGGGCAGAAGTAATGGTATTAGCCAGGTTAATGAAGAGCTCAGGTTTGGTGCCCACATACTGGGTGGGTGGGGGGAGGGCTTAACAAAGGAGTGATGGAGCCTGCCAGAGCTTCCATTCCAGGAGAGAACTGCCCTGCCGCCTGCCCCTTCAGCCCTCACCCTGAAGCTAGTCAATTCAGTTCCTCCCCAGATGTTCCCTGTGCTTTTCAAGTTGCCATCCCTGCACTGGAGCCCAGAGTAAGTGAATCTGTGAGTGAGGAAGTCCGGGTTGGCCCCTCCTAAGGAACTCCTGGGACTTCAGCAGCACTCCTTCTCACTCAGATGCAATCCCTGCTGGTTTTCTCAGCTAGATGGTCTGGGGACTCCTCTTCTGGCACTGGTGCCCTGAGCTGGGACCCCTTGCTCCTTGGGTGGCACCTTCAGAGCCGAGATATCCCTTCCGATTCTTTGTCACCACTCTGTGGGTGTGAGAATTGCTTGTTCCATGTCTCCACCCATCCTACAAGTCTCACCGTGGCTTCATCTTTATATCCTTACTTATAGGATTTCTGTTCAGCTAGACTTCAGGTGGTTCTTAATGATTGTTGTTTTATAACTTAGTTGTAATTTCAATGTGGTTGTGGGAGGAAGTAAGCACAGTGTTTTGCCTATTCTGCCATCTTGACAGGAAATCTAAAGCAGTTTTTATTTTCATTTTCTATGTGTGTTTTTTACTTATATTTTTATTTTTTTATTAGATTTATTGGGGTAACATTGGTTAGTAACAGTATATAATTTTCAGGTGTGCAAGACTGTAATTTGATATCTGTGTACTTTATGTGCGTTTACCACCTGAAGTCTAGTTTCTTCCATTACCATATATTTGACCCCTTTTACCCAGTTTGCTCTCCCCCCACCTGCCTTTTCCCTCTGATAACCATCATTCTGTTGTCTGTCTCTCTGAGTTTGTTTTTGTTTATTTTGTTTGTTTGTTGCTTTTCGTTTTATATTCCACATGAGTGAAATCATAGGTTTTTGTACTTATTTAACTTACTATACTCTTGAGAGTAGTATGTTAAGTTTTTATTTTTAATATAATAATGTAGTACCTCAAAAAATTCCAAGTTTGTATTTGGAGATTTATCCTTATTGATGAAATATTTCACATACTGGATAATGCTGGGTTATTTCATTCATGTTAACTGTTGTTTCAATGAACTCATTAGAAACAAAAGCTGGACACAAAACACCTGCCTAAGGCTTTTTGGCTGAGTTTCTGTGGCTACATTGCAATGTATCCGCGACTTTACTTAAGGAAACCCCAGTTCTGAGGTTGAAGAGAATTTCCTTTCTTTAGAAAACATAATTGACATTTTTAAAATTTTCTTTTAGGAAAGACTTCTGTCTGCCACCCCTTCCCCACTTTTTTCCCCCGAACACACACTTTTATTAGTTTGTGCCATCTGAGAAAGGGCACCGTGCTCCAACCTACTGGGGTGTTTCTATCTGAGAACAATGGAGCAGAGAGTGATGGCTGCAAGGCCCCTGACCCAGGTGTGTGACCTGGCTTTGCTTCTGTTGACAGCGTGAAGCAGAATGAGCGCTATGGCCAGCTGACCCTGGTCAACTCCACTGCAGCTGACACTGGCGAGTTCAGCTGCTGGGGGCAGCTCTGCAACGGCTACATTTGCAGGAAGGACGAGGCCAAAACGGGCTCCACCTACATCTTTTTTACAGGTAAAAGGTTTGTTGCATTAGTGGAACTCTTCAAACTTCTGGACTGGGCCCATAGTAAAGGTTCCCACTGTGTGCTGAATATCAAATGATGATAATCAGAGCACCCACTTTTTGCCAGGATCTGGGCTCAATGCTTTACATCAATTATTTCATGTAAGTCTCACAACAACCCTTCAGGGTAAGGACTAATATCATTTCCATTTTTCCCCCCAATGGCAACATTGAGGTTTAGAGATTAAGGAAGCCCTTAAGATCATAGCACAAGTGGCTGTATCAGGATTTGAACCCAGAACGGTCTGACTCCAGAGTTTGTACCTACATTATCCAATATGGGAGCCCCTTATGGGACTATTTAAACTTAAATGGGAATGTATTACAGTTAAACAAAATTAAAAACTCAGTTTCTCAGTGGCATTTGCCATTGCCACATGCAGCTAGTGGCTACCCTCCTGGACACTGCTGACAGAACATCTCCATCATGGCTGAAAGCTCTCTGGGACAGCATTGCTGTATGCTTTTAGTCATATGCTCTCAGAACCTGTGATGCTCTCCTCTCTGAGCCTCCGCAGTCATAGGACACCTGGCTATAGACCTCCTTGCATTTGTTCTTATGGGTACTGTGAGCTGACATTTTGGTGGCAGGATTCCCAAAGATCTTGGCCTTTGTGGCTCTAGTCCCAATCCCTGGGCCTAAGTGAGGTTCCTGGAAAGGTGCGCAGGTTAGAGCGAGCCCTTCTCCTGCCTTGCAGCACTAAGTATGCTTTTGCCAGTTAGAGAAATGCATTACAGAGTAGCTTGCCAGCCTCCTTCCTCTGCAGAGCTCTCTAAACTGAAATTTGGAGGATGACGTTCTTCAACAAGGCTCAGAGGTAAGGAACAGCTTTCAGGAACCCTACAAATGCCACCCCCTGGTGTTGCCGTTATCCAAGACATTTCAGGTGAAGCCAGAATGCTTTCTCAGTGTCTGGGCAGGGGCTCTCAGGAGACTCGTCTACCTCCTGAACCCATCTGTCTTTCAGACCTAAGTGATTTAGGCCTATGACTCAAATGACCTCATGCCCTGGACGTTACTGAATGCTTTAGCAAAGTCTCATATATAATCCCTTCCTGCCCAAATAGCTCCTCTCTGGAAAGCAGATGCATTAGCCGAGCATGCTACCATCCTGGAGACCCATGCATCTCATTTCATTTCCACAACACCCCTGGGAACTAAGTAGAAACTGCTTTATTATCTCTATTGTAGAAATAATGCTGATGCTGAGCCTCAAGGGGCAAGGTGACCCATTCAATGTTTCATGACTTGTAGTAGCAGAATAAAGAGCCAAACCCTGTTTTTCTGACCCAGGGTCCAATGTTCTGAGTGTCCTAACCCATTGCTAAGCCAAGGTGATTGACAGATGGGCAGACGGACACTAGCTAGCGAAACTACTGTCGTCAGGAGAATTGCTCCCAGTTGTTCATAGGTAATCCCCTCTGATCCTCGTTCTGGAATGTGCTATGCAGAATGCCCACGTGCTCTTGGTGTTATACCACTCTGGGAAGCAGTAATGGAAAAGGCAACTAAATAAGACTCATGAGAGCCTAGTATTTGGGATGAGGAGCGATATTGTACTTCATATATCAGAATGAAGATTCTTTGTTACAGTCAGCACTGTTCTGTCTTTCTAAACTATTGGTGTTTGAACTGAGATAGTGAGTTGAAGACCTCCTTTCAGCAGAATGTACTGGTAGGGTTATGGGCTCTCTTTGAGATTGGGAGGCAGGGCTTCCTTTTTTTTTTAAGATTTTATTGGGGCCTTGGGGAAGGGGAACAGTGTTGGGGAATTGTGGAAGGGGAACAGCCAAGTTGTTGTCCTTCAATCTTAGTTGTGGAAGGCGCAGCTAGCTCAGCTCCAAGTCCAGTTGCCATCTGGCTACCCGTGGGCAGCTCACGGCCACTCAGCTCAAGGTGCCGTGTTCAATGTTAGTTGCGGGTGGGCATAGCCCACCATCCCATGTGGGAGTCTAACCGGCAACCTTGTTAGGAGCATGTGCTCTCACCAGCTGAGCCATCCTGCCACCTGTTGGCAGCTCAGGGGCAGCTCAGCTCACTGGCCCATGTGGGAGTCAAACCGGTGACCCTGTTGCTCAGAGCTCACGCTCTTAACCAACTGAGCAACTCGGCCGGCCCCATGGCTTTCTTCCTTAATGTATGGAAGCCCCCTTGTGAATCAAAGGAATGCCTCCAAATTAATATGTATTTCAACTTTCAAGAAACCTGGATCAAAAAGGGATGTGATGTTAATGTGTTGTGTCGTTTTCTTATTCCTCAACCCTGAGTGAAGAGCCCAGGTGGATTTTAGGTAGCGGGTTTAGCCATTTGTCTTTTCAGGCCTGCGTGGGTTTGCGAAACCAAGATGGGCTCTTAAGGAGCTGAGCTTTCTGCTGCTGGCTCTGGATTCTTTTCAGAACATATGCTTCCCCACTACCCACTCAGAGAAACGTCTGGCCTTCAATATGTGTGTATGTTTCCTAGAGTTTTGACTGCAAATACTGGGAAGCTTCTTTTTGACTGTTGTTCATTTGTGCAGTTTTTGATGAAGCAACTATCGCATATTTGATCTTTATCCAGGAGGCTCCCAAGAGTGTTTTTGTTTTCCTAACTTTTCACTGAAGTATAACATATGTTAAGAAAACTACACAAATCATAACTATACAGCTCACTATACTATCCTCAAGTGAATACACACATGTAACTACCACCCAGATCAAGGAGGAGAATATTAATGGCAGTGGGCTGTCTCATAGCAAGAGGCCTGGGCTCCAATTTTCATATGTAGTAAAACCACATGAATGAGCATTTTTATGGAGTTTGTTATAATTTGGATTTTATAGCCTATTCACTTTAATTTCTTTGGAAGTCTAAATTTCTATGTGTTTAATTTAAAGTAATGTTTGTCATCTACTTGAGTAGGTACAAACATTTGCAGGGGGCATATATAATTGATAATTTTCTAAAATGAACTGCAACACACTCTTTTTTTGGTAGATGAAATCTACTGATTATACATGTATTTTTTCTGTTTGTTAAAGCAACCGGTGTGATCATTTCTTTCAATGCATGTATTATAGTACAGAAGTAAGACCACATTTTTGTGTTCTGAAATTCAGATGATTATTCTACTGGCTTTGCTCATTGGTTCTGTTTTGTCTACAAAGCCTTAAAAGTTGCTTCTAAATCTTACAATCATAAATTCCTTCAGTGTTTTCACTTAAAAAATATATCTTTAATACTATCTACTGTGGATTTCCCTTTACAAACGGGAATGTTGATGCACAGAGAGCTTAAGTGACATATCCAAGGCCATCTAGACTTACTCTGTGAACACAGGGCTTTTGGGTACAACATTGACAAAGGTGCCCCTTGCCTAAGCCTGAAATTTGTCATGAAGTAGCATGACTCACCCAGCTTGATATGTACCGTTGCAAAAAATAGAGGTCACTGAGCCATGATGTCCTCTTTCTTGATGTCAGTCAGAGCCAGGTGGAAAGACCTCCATATTAGTGAACTTGTAGTCATCGCCAAAGAACTCTTGACCCATGAAGACATTTGAAGATGTGTCCAGAAATTCTGTACGTACCCTAAAATAATCATACAACTGTGGCACAGAGAAGGGTAGTGAAGGAGAAAGCCAAGAATAATTGGTTGTTTCAGGAACACTGAAGGAAATACATATGAAACAATGTAACAGATGTTGGGGTTTAATTAAGTTAAAAGATTTCTCCTAGCAATTACTATAATGATTGTCTCACAGAATAGAAAACAAAGGATTTAATGTACCGTGCCCAAAACAAACCTTCCTCCCCCAAAAACCCAACCCAGATTCCTTTGACTGTACTAAGGAAAGTATGGATAAACCAGTCCTCATTTCTGTGAGATAAAAATACCATCATCTAGAGCTCAAAGAACACAGCGTGACTTCAGAGGAAACAGGAGTATAAGAAACTGGCTGACGGTCCCCAGCCAGTGGCAGCCCAGCAGAGCTCAGAACCTGAGATAATGTGTTCCTCACCTGTTTCTACTCGATTCCCTTCCCATTGACCTTTGCAGGAATGAGGTCCTCTGGGCTGTGAGCGCTCCAGTGCCCTCACTGGACGGGGCTTCTCAGTGGAGTCCTGCTGTGCTGGGAGAGGCAGTTACTGAGCATAAGCTATGGGGCTAATTTCTCCGAGACACAACAGATTGTTTATAGGTTTTAAAACTGCTCTTACCATAAGGAAGTCATCTCCTTCCCTGCTTCCTCAGTGGCATAACCCATGGTCCTGATTTGGGCTTGAACTAAGACCTATTTTGTTTCCTTTAAGGAGATGGGAAGCAACATCCTTCTTCCGCCAAAGAAAAACCATTAAAAAAAAATAGCACTGCTTATTCATAAGGACTCAGTAGTCTGAGTATAGTTCGGTTCCCTCTCATCTTTGTGCCCTGAATGCAAGAATCCATGAAGTGCTCACAATTTGCTTCTGCAGAATAAATAAGCCTGTGTTTTTTCCTTTGCAGAGAAAGGAGAGCTCTTTGTACCTTCTCCCAGTTACTTTGATGTTGTCTACTTGAACCCGGACAGACAGGCTGTGGTTCCTTGTCGAGTGACCGTCCTGTCAGCCAAAGTCACTCTCCATCGCGAGTTCCCGGCCAAGGAAATTCCCGCCAATGGAACAGACATTGTTTACGACATGAAGAGGGGCTTTGTGTACCTGCAACCTCATTCTGACCACCAGGGGGTAGTCTACTGCAAGGCAGAGGCTGGGGGCAAGTCTCAGATCTCTGTCAAGTACCAGCTCCTCTACGCAGAAGGTAAGCCGGCTTCCTGCCAGTGGCTAGATTTTAGTTGCTTCCAGCTGGGCAGTATCAGGGACTGCTGTTCCCAAGTATGGATGGAAATTAGGAGGCACAGAATGCTGTTCTTAAAGGCTCCTTTACTGGACTGCCATTTCTAAAATGTCCTACTTCCTTGTCTGTGACCCTGACCCAACACCCCTTGACTTCCTTCTCTGCCAATCCATCCATCATTCGCTCTGGTACTGCCTCTGTATGACTGACTGATCAGCAATTCTCCAAAATCCCCAATCTCTTCTTAGAGCATTTTCTCAGATGAGAACATCCTCTCTATTTGAACCAAAATCTGTCTTCATCCCTTTCCCACCTCAAGGCCGGGAGGTGGGGTTGGTGTCCTTCTTGCAGCCATCCCCACTTCCTGGTTCTCATCCTCACCCTCGATTAGGAACCTCTGCTCCTCAGAGACGGGTAGCTCATGGCTATACCAGCTTTCTCATCTTTTTTCTTGTCACTCCCCTAATGGGCTCATTGTCCTCTTTGTCCCTCCATGTTCTGGGTGACATCAACATTCACTTGGAACTCACTGGCCTGGCGCACTGAGGGCCTCGTCCCCTCCACCTCAGACAGCCCTCCCTCAGTCATAACTGTAACATGCCAACGACTACCACTGCTCTGACTTAGCAGTCGCTGAGGCAGACCTCCAACTTCAACCATAGCCTCGTGCCTCCCCAGATTGTTCTGCACCAGTCCTCACCCCCACCCTCTACTCCCCACACCCCCCACATTCTTCTGCCCGCCCCAGCCCACCCAGCTTAGAGGCCAGGGCTCATGGCTTCAGTGTTCTCTGCCAATGCCCTGAACTCCTTGCTCTTCTGTACTCTCCTCCCACCTAGCCAGGAAAACACCATCCTAAATGAACATAACTGTGCCCTTTCTCCATGCTGAGGGCTGCTGGGAAAATCCCATGGACGGGTAAATTCATTCTCTTCCAGTGGGCCTCATTACCTTCTTCTTGACAGAACTGAAATATGCCCAAATCTCTCCATTAAACATGGAAATATTTTTTTAATATGACCATTTTAGTGAGGAGTTTCAATTCAGTGGTCTCATACATGAAACACTTTTTGTTGTTGTTGTTGTTGTTCAGGAACTTCCATCAATCCTGCCCCCTTTTCTAAAAATAATGAGGTCCATTAATGATATCTCAGTCCAATTCCATATCCAACAGGCACTTTGGATTAGGAAGATAGTCTTATCCCCTAAGACTGTTCATTTAAAATCTTTAACTCCACATTTGACACAAAGCCCGCTCCTGGTCTCCCCACCAGCAGGCTGGCTAGGCTACACTGGTGACTCCAGCAGCTGGAGTGGGGGAGTGGGGTGGGAGAGACAGGCTAGCTCCCCTCCCCCACTCTGGCGCTAGCCTGGGGGCAGAAAGGGAGAGGCTGCAGCCCAGGGCAGTTGCTCCTATAGTAAATGCTGACCTGGCCTCTTCCTGAATTCCATGGGGACAGATGATGGCTCCAACGCATTGTCATGGATGATAAGGAACTCACCCCTAAGCAGCCCCCTTGGTACCATAAACCCCTCAGAATCAACCTTGTCATCCTCTGGACCCTCAGCTAAAGGCCTCTACAGCCTGTGTTCATCTCTTTGCTCCCAGCTGTATGTAGTGTGGTCTCAGAAAGGCTACAGCATCTCTATGTCCCTCCAAGACCCTGACTCTGGAGCATGGGGGAACAAGAAACTTATAGTGGGGACACAATCCAGGAGCCCTTTCCTCCTGACAGCTCCCCCATAACATCCCTTCCTCCCAGTGTTCTCCAGCCCAGGGCTGGTGGCACAGAGCAGGCAGCAAGCAGGTGTCTACTGCAGGAGGACATGTCACCTCCCCTTCCTTGACAAGTGATCCCCTTCCCCCCACCAACTTCTAGGAGAGAAAGCAACCCCTCCCCAGCCCCTGTGAGTGGGTAGTGGAAATTTCCTCTCCATGCACTGTAGTGCCTCAACGATGACCTTTCTCCAGGGTGAGTGGCCCGTGAATGGGGTAGAATCCATCATACTGCAATCGTGCTGCTTAGGCAGCCCTGTGGCAGGGTGAGTGGCCCTAAGAGCTAGCTGTTCTCTGAGATGAGAATTCAGGCTCTTTAGTATCTCTTGCTCTCAGCCATGCACTTACTCACTAGGCTACAGCAGCAACACACTGTTACCAAATAACCCTCAGAGCCCTCCTTGTCCAACCTCAGCCCTGGACTAAGGCCATCTCTCTTTCCCGTCACAGCCAGCCACCCTGAAAGAGCTCTCCCTGTCCCCCATCTTCATTTCCTCCCTTCCCACGTGCTCCTCATTTTTTCCTCCTGTGCTCCACCCAAAAAGCAAGGGTGTCAGGGCCCCAGGCCATTCAACCCAGCACACACATTTCTGTCCTCATCCGACTAGATTCCACCGTGCCTGCATGAAGCCCCTCATTTTGTCCTCCTTTCCCTCAACTTTCACATTCTGCCTTGTCAGCTCGTTGCCTCTCCCAGCTTGTAAATGATGGGAGTTCCCCAAGACCCCTTCTTTCTCATTCCTTGTTCTCCTGCGTGGTTTCAGCCACATCCACGCTCCACTGCATATCTGTTCACTATAACTTGTAATTGAATATAGATGGCCCAGATCTGAGAGTGCCGGCTTCACCTATCCAACTGTCTGCCTAATATCTGTGCTTATAAGCTTCATAGGCCCTTCCCTCAACTCGGGATCTTCTCCCCTAGCTCAGCTTTCCTTGTCTCCAGTGGCAACGCAGTCACCCAGTGTGCAGCCCCAAGACTGGGAGTCAACTCAAAAGTCCCGTTTCCTGCTAGTCCTTTTTCCCGTTTCTATAAAATCACTTTCAACTCCTGCTAGTTCTCTCCATCCTCACTGCAGAGAGTTCAAGCTATCATCATCTCTTCCTTGGGCTAATCTGAATGCCTTTCCAGCTGTTCTCCCCTCTGTCCACCTTTTCTCTCTTCCACACGGGAGCTGATTAAAATTCCAATCAAAACCATTCAGTAGGTTCCCACTTTTCATAAAACCAAGGTCAACATTTTCCCTGTGGCCTGAAGGCCCTTGCCTGGCTGACCTCTGGCCCTCCGTGCTCGGCTGCCTGCTCCGCTGTCTCCCACCTCACTGTGGGGGCTTTGCCACTGTCATTCCCTGTCATCTGGGGCCTCCCCCTTCTCCTCCCATGCCTGTTAAGCTCACCCTTCAAATTCTAGTGCAAACATTGCTTCCTCAAGGAAGTCTTGCCTGCTTCTCAGACTATTCTGAACTTCCTGAGCACTTTGGGCTTCTCCTCATAGCTCTTAACACAACTCCTTTTAAATTAACCACACGATTACTTGCTCAGTGTCTGGTTCCTCCTCTGGATTCCAGGCTGCACGGGCTCAGAGACCTGTGTCTCATCCCTGCTGTGGACCTACCTCCTATCTTGTGGCCTTGCTCAAGGCTGCTGTCAAAAGTATTTGTTGAGTGACCTGAACACAATGAAGAATGTGTTTCTGCATTGCTGTGACTGCAGACATGTAGCACTCATGCTTCCTGCAAACCTTTCTCATTAGATTTAGACGTTCGCCTCTTCTGAGGATGAAGAGCCACACACCCACCTGTTCACCTCCACCCATGCAGTTGCTCTATGTTTCCCCCCCCCCAACTACCTTCTTTTCCTTCAACTTTATTCCCGTCATATGAACCCCTGGAGACCTTTTAGCTTCTTCTCCTAATTACAAGCGTCATGGCTGGACCTGGGGAGTTGTGGATGATGACCCCATTCTGGACTGGCAAGGAGAGAGAGAGAGAGAGAGAGGGAGGAGAGGGAGAGAAAGCTTCAAAAAAACCCCAAAGTTGTAGGATAGAGGAGGCCTGGTATTAACTGGGAAGCTATAAAAAAGGTAGAAATGTTACATATCTGTCCAAAGAACAGAATGTGTCTGTAGGTTTGTCTTGAATGTCGTACTCAAGAATTCCATCTCACTTTCCCTGTCTCCTGCTTCCTTCCAGTTCCCAGTGGCCCTCCATCAACAAGCATCTTAGCATCCTCAAACAAAGTGAAAAGTGGGGATGACATCAGTGTCCTCTGCACTGTCCTAGGGGAGCCTGATGTTGAGGTAGAATTCAGGTGGATTTATCCAGGGCAGAAGGTAAGCACCATGCCCTAGACTCAGCCAGTCGTTTTAATTCAGGTTTGTCTCCTCCTCCCTCACCTCCCAGTGATAAAGGCAGTAACTTAAGAAGTACAGGAAATGTGTGGGCTATGGTAGGGCCAGAGGCTGGCTTGTTTTCTTCTACAATGTTTCAGTATATTTACAAAAGGCTTTTTTTTTCTTTAATAGACAGGGAAAAAGGTGACTTGGTTCCATTAGGCAAGTCACTCAGTGTGCCCTCTTCCTATGTGATTTTTCTTCATAACCCTTTTAAATAAGGGACAGGGGCTTGAAAGAAAAAGCAGGGGGCCACCCCCTTTCTCCACGCCCAACCTCAATCTTCAGTTTTAATTCTGGGTTGACTGGAGGCCAGTCTAATCTTCTCCTGGCATCCTTTAGTGTTCTCCATGCACGTTGTGCCCTGTGGCGAGGAGCTCTGAGCAGACATCCACAAAGTGGGCATAGAAACGCAGGCGCTATCAAAAAGGTGCTGTGAGGCCAGAGATCATTTTAAAATAGACTTCCTATAAAAGCAACTACAGCTTATTTAGCCTCGGTGCGTGTTCTGCTCACTAAAATAAACAGCTACCAACATGGAATAATCCCTTTGTTGCCAGAAGAGATTTGGCCTCTTGAGACGTTCTCAGTAGCCAGTACACTTCTGACTTGAGGGCTGTGATTGGTGGAAAATACCTGCCTGAAGACTATTTTCCAGAATCCTGGTACTTGTTTTTAAACAGTTGTCACAGTTAGAGGGCATTAATGATTTTCAATAGATTTTTTTTACATTGCCAATTATTATTTCATGAGCAGAAAGGGGATTAATTTAGTAATACTGTATTAGTTATTTTTAATGAATCCAGAACCACTACGCTCTTATCACCAAATTTGGATGAAGAATCTAAAAGTGACCGTCTGCCTTTCTGGAAATAGGGAGTTATGTCATCTAGGACACATTTTACTAATCATACTTCTCTGTCTTCCAAATCTGAATAATTGGGAGCTTTTATTCATTTACACAGTTATAGTTGAGTGCTTTCGACTCTTTTTTACTATAAGTTCTGTGAATAAAAACCACTGAGAGGATGAAAGTGGGCAATGTGAAGAGAACAGTGGAAAATTTTACCCATGTTTTTATGCTTAATATCATTTGTATATTCTTGGACTTCCAAAAGAATAAATCTTATATTAAATAGAAACTTACTATAAAGAAAAGGGCAATAAGAGAGAGTTAAACAGCATAATGAAATCCAATACTCTGCTTGGAAAAAGAAATGCAACCTAAAATGATTATACAGTGGGAAAGCACCCATGAGCTACGCATACCAAATAGTCTTTTATAAACATGTGTTTTGCACTTCGAAAGGAACACTCGGCCGTGTGGGGTGAATGAGAGCCGTTAGTAGCAGATTGTCAGTTGTGCTTCAGTCCATGTGGGTGTCATTAAACAGGATGAAAGACCCGTGACGATTCAAGACACTTGGAGGCTGATCCACAGAGGACTTGGACACACCACAAGAATCTCCCAGAGCGTCATGACAGTTGAAGACTTTGAAACCATTGATGCAGGATATTACATTTGCACGGCCCAGAATCTCCGAGGACAGACTACAGTAGCCACTACTGTTGAGTTTTCCTGACTTGGAAAATGAAGTATAATGGACTGATGGAAAGCCCATTTGTGTACACAACCAGCTTTGGCGTTCTTTCGACTAGTGCTTTGCCAGAGGCTGATGTTCAGCGCGAAACCCCAACCCCTGCCTTTGGAGTAAGACCCAGACATCCAAACTGAAAGGAAGTCATCGGTCTAACAGAAGTGTTAACTTCTCTGGCAGAAAGCATGTATTCTGACTGCTTACCTACGTATATGCATTTCTGGTTTTTATACTAAGAAAGCATATATGTGAACAACTTTATATAATCATGTCTATTAAACAAGCAACATTTCATAAAAATGGGCTAAGTGCTCGTTGTTTAGATTGGCTTGAAGTATATCCAGAAGGACTTGGTGGCAGTAATATTTGGGTTAATACCTAACGTTCTATTTGATTTAATAATAATACACAAGAATCTAAAAATGTAATGGTATATAGTTCAAATACGTGTGAACTATGATATGAAGGTATCAGAAAGTCATAGCACCTTGCCTTTAAGAAACAAAAAAACTGCTGTACTCAGAAGTACTTGTTCTAGGTTAGTACAGTCAGTAAGAGCTACAGCAAGTGTTTTTAAAAGTTTTACTTTCAATATAAAATAGATGCATAGATCAAGGAAGATTCAACTTCGTTTAGACGTTTTCTTACCATCTTCAAAAATATTTAGACCATAATGCCAATTTTCTTACCTTATAGAGCAGAAATTGTTAAAAACCAGTCAAAAGTTATTTCTCCAAAACACATAGAGCTAAGCTTTTCTTTTCTAAATTCAAAGCTAAGTCTAGGACTGTGAGCCAAATTTCAGCCCATGACCAATTTTGTGGTTGTGTTGGACATTCCTGGGAAATAGCTTAGGAGGAGACATGATGTCAGCTCCCATGCTATGAGAAGGGCTATAAACCGATGACACTTTGGAGAGTGAAGTATGTGACAGGTTCCAATTCTCATATTGAATATTCCAGCATTATTTATTTGATCAAAGTAAAAATACACTTTCCATCACTACAAACTGAGCACAACTACAGCTGTTTACACATCCATATTTTTATGACGTGCCAACATTTTGCATCCTACATGAAACATTTGGTTTGAAAAAAATCTTAAAGTTCTCTGTTTTGTTTCCTGTCTTCTCTCCAGTTGTCTGGCATTCTCTGAAGACATTTTATACTAATTGTGTAAGATTGATTTCCCCAGACAGCTAAATAGTACAGAGGAGAGCAGGGAACAGCACAAGATTTGCCATTCGAGGGGATGGGTGGCAAACCCAACTTTGGCTAATGACATTGAGAACAACTTGAAAGGGGAAGCAGAGAGATACTCCAGGAGGTGGCAGTGAACTGACATTACCATTTATCAGAAGCAAACAAGGAAGGTTACATACATAATAAACTATTGAAGTTTAGACTTCAGACACAACTGCTAATAATAAAAAAAACATGCATCATGACTATCAATTTGCTATGTAGTGTACATGTAAATGATGAATCAAATATCCACCTCTAGTATCCTGAATCTGCTCTTACTACAGGGGTTATTTGTACAGCCATCAGCAACACAGATTAGTAAATACTGACATCACAATGTTAACACATGCAGGGAGAGGGAGAAAAAGCCACAGTTCTTCCACGTCCCCGAAGTATTAGAATAGGGAGAGGAGATAAGCAAAGTTTCGAAAAGAAACTGAAATGTGACTTGGAGGTGAGTTGTGGAAGCCACATTTTCCACTCATCTACCTTCCCAAGGACAGGAGGATTCCTCAAAGGGTACATGGAAACTCAGCATGACCTTCCCAGACTGTTTACTTCTATTAAATACTGCATCACTGGTTTAATCAAGGTACTCTAGTCATCAAAAAGCACTGAATCCTACCTTTCTTAGTTCTACTAGCCAATGACTCTTATTCTTTATTCCCTCTAGGGTTTCCAAAAATTGGTACTATCAGATCCAGGCCATGGTTTTTTTTGGAAAGTGGTTTCAGCACCTTGAAGATGAGCTGGCTCTGGAAAAGCGTATTCCATTATCCTTGCCCTAGAGAAACATAGGTAGGAGGTAGAAGGTTTGCTTTTGTGGCTCTGGCTGGGGGAGGAAGGAAAGGGAGGAAATCAGGATAATGCGAGAAGACAGTTTAAGTCTGTGAGGATAGCTTAGATCAAGGTAAAAGTGAGGCAGACATAATCCATGGGTGCTGCCCTTTTTCTTCATACAGATTTTTAGAAAAATTAGGGTTTTACATTTGCTCATAGCCTGAGAAAATGGATTGTAGGAAAATGTTAGGTTCACGTGGGAAAGTTACAATTCTACAGAAAATAAATCTGGCTAGTTTCTACTGACATGGCTGGACACTGAACGACTGCACAGACATGGACACGTCAGAGCTTTTCCTGTCATGTCCCTTTCCCCCGTGTCAAAGGGCTAAGTGGAGTGGGTGGTAGAGAATCACAATTCAAGCAACTATTGCTTTTTCTTCTATGGCTTGTTGCAGAAATGCATACACTGACTTATTTGACTAGTACATTATCCAGATATAGTCAGCTTTTGACTTTCAATACACAGCAAAGGAGGCAGCATCAGACACAGGACACTCCATTCCATCCATTTCATTCACACGTCCCCAAAATAAACATCACAAGAAGGTGTCTGTGGTAAAGAACGTTATAAAGGTTATAAATCTTTTATCTTAAGAGAACCCTGAGAGTTTTTCCCCATATGCTTACGTGAAAAAGGCAATGAACAAGACCTTCACCTTCTCATTCTTTAAGTGCTTTGTGCAACAGTGTCCGCACAGACCATGTGGGGAGGAGCCTCTGGGACCAAGTCAAGCCTTCCTCTAGAGTTCCAGTCTCTTACGGAACCGATCCTGGGGTGGGGTGGGGGGGGGTGACTTTCCAGTTCTAGTGTGGTAATGACACATCAGCTAACATAGCTCTTGCTCCCATGACCACAGGTAGGGTCAATCCTGCAGACCTGTAAAAAACGCTTCCCGACAGTCTCCCCACTTTCAGAAAGCGTCATCTGGGTGAGACGCTGGGGCTGGGGAAGGAGCCGGAATTCCTGGGTGATGGGAAGGGGATGGCGGAAGACGCGGGAGACCTCTTGGGGCTGCACAAGTCCCCGTTGTTCAGCTTCCACAGCAGTTCCTCGTTTTCCATGGAGAGTCGCTTGTTGACTTTTGACTCCTTCTCCAGGGACTCCTGCAGAACAGCCTGCTCGCTGGAAAGTTGCCTTCAAGACAAAAAAGAGCCAGAAACCACGTGGATCTGAGTTCAAATGAAAATTGAAAAAAATTCCCTTACCCTTTTAAGTTTGCGAGTCTAGTCAAATGACCCCTTTGGAATAAAAGGGAGCCCAGAGTAGAGCTGCTGGCCAACTGGCTCTATGTATTTGGCTAGCTAAGAAACCCTGGAAGTGTGAGTAGAGGCCAAAGAAAAAGCCACACTTTGGGGAAATTTCACAGTAGGCTAAGTGACACTCCTGCAGGCATTCTGCATGTCTTGTGACTGTCTCATGTCTGGGGCTGTTTCCTACTTGGTCTCCTGATGCTCTTCATCTGAAAGCATTTTCAGCGTCCATAAGCCAGGGGCCCCAGGGGGACGGCTGGCCTGCTCAGGTCTCAGCGTTTAGTCCAGGCCCCTGTGGTAAAAGCGTGAAGCGCTACCATCACATTTTCCAGATATAAATCAGTACACCTCTTTAATCACCCTCTTCAATCACATTTCCAGGAGGTACTCGGGTGGAGTGGGGTAAGTAACACTCGAAGTCTGAGGAAGCGAGGCGATCGGAAAAACAGGACTGTTTTATTTTTACCTTGAAATTGCCATGTGCTTGTCCATTCGAGCTTTTAATTCCTCATTCTCCTGCTGGAATCGCTTCAGTTTGTCCACCAATGCTGTGTTGTTGTCCACCTTGGCATAAACAAGAATGCCAACAATTATACATGAAAAAGTAGGTAAATAAAGCCTCTCGTTTCCTAAGGCACATTCCTGCTACAAGTACCTTTTGGAGAGATTGAATTAATGAAAGTTTAATTGTATATTGAAATATCTATACGTTGTCACACTGCAAAACAGTATCTAAAGCAGCAAAACAGAGCTTCCAGGTATGATTTTTTTTTTTTAATTAATGTTAGTTTTCAAGAGCCACTTGAAAACTGACACACAAGGGGTAACTCATTTGTTGCAGGTAACACCCTTTTTAGAATCTCCCTGAGAATGGGTGTCCTGCACTGGGTAACTCTGGGTTGTGCGTCTCTCAGTTTCAAGGTAGTAAAACAAAAACAGCAGCTAGACAGCCTGTATTTGTGAAGGTCACCACAGCTTTCAATTTTGCAAGCAAAAAAAAAAAAAAAAAAAAAACATTTGATGAAAACTCTTAAGGCCAGAAGTTCACAGTTCTGGGCAATGTTTAATATGACCTTAAACATGGTTTCCTAGTTCCTCTTTAGCATTTACTTCTGAGGGGCCACACAAAGCAGCAATTCACAAAGCTGTGGAGCTTCCAATGAGAGAAGTGAAACTACAGAAAGCCTCCCTCCTCAGTTCAATTGAAGATATGTTTGTTCTCCTGCTGGCATGCCCAGGCTAAACTTTCAAGGAAAACAAATTGATCAGCTGAGAGATTAAAGGATAAAATCCCTGAAGACATTTAATCACTTAAACATGATGAAGAGCTGATTACATCCCAGCTCACTTTCCAAAGGTAAGATTTTATTACTTGCTTAGGAGGTGACATCACAGCTCTGCCAGAATTAATTCTAAGTCCCTGTCACTGTAGCATGTAACTAATCTACTCTGATTAGGATTCTTAAGAGTCCTATTGTTCTTAATATATCCTATTATCTAGAAAATGTTCAGGACAAGCCAATTGGGTGAAATAACTTTCCAAAAAATGAGACTCGGATGTAAGAAAAAGGGGGCCTTGGAATTTTCAGTAATTAGAAAGGAATTCAAGATAAAACATGAGTAGAAAAACCTGAATTGGAAGCTGGGCAGTAGCTGGCCTTAGAATACGATCTTGTCCAATTCTTCATTGTATAGCAGAGGAAACTAGCCTGATCCTGTTGATGTCACAGAGCTAATCAGTGGCAGCGTTAGTTTTCATATTGAGTAAGCCTCCCCCTGCTTTCTAAGTGTCTTGTTTTCTACAAAGACCTGAAGCTTACAAATAAGTAAGAACAGTGGGTTTACCTGTCATATCAACCCACTCTTTCCATATATCTAATACAATGCTGACTTATATCATGATAACCTCTTTGGCAATGGCAAGAAACAAATATTTATGGATCAACAAAAATTAAAATGTGTCAGTAATTTTACAGCAGAGTCTGTTCTTACTGCACCCACCTGCAATTTTGCAAAGTTGATGCATGAGTGGTACATGGGGCAACCAGTTATTAACAGGATTATCTGAGTCATCTTTGACTGCCAGATTAGCAGTTATTAGACTCGATAGGACAGAAAGACCTGATGCAGGGACTGGTATATATACTAGATTGGGCCCATTAACCAAACCAATGAGTTCCTTTCCTTCCTTAAAAAAAAAAAAAAAAAAGTCCTGGTAATTCAAAGTGCCTATATATTCACATTGCAGCTTAGCCCTTACCTTCCTCAATAAAGAGATCATAGTCTCTAGAACAGCGGTTCTCAACCTGTGGGTCGCGACCCCTTTGGGGGTCGAACGACCCTTTCACAGGGGTCGCCTAAGACCATCAGAAAACAAAAAGATATTTACATTACGATTCATAACAGTAGCAAAATTACAGTTATAGAGTAGCAACGAAAATAATTTTATAGTTGGGGGTCACCAGAACATGAGGAACTGTATTAAGGGGTCGCGGCATTAGGAAGGTTGAGAACCGCTGCTCTAGAAGGAAACCAAACCAAGCACCAAAACCCAAACAAACAAACAAAGCGAACAGAGTAACCTCCATGCTCTCTATTGTCCAGGGCTGGTTTGGGTTCGAATGAGGCACTTAATCAGTCACTCATAATTGGGGGGAGAAGGGACAAGCAATGCAAGGGAGCAGGCAGAGTTAAACAAAGTACCGCAGTGGCTGGGATCACTTAGGTCACCTTGTCAAACCCTGCTCACTTGATAGGACTCCTGGCTTGTAGCAGCTGTGTTCCAGGGCTGGGCCAAGACACACGGAACACTGAGCACGCTGCTCAAACACGTAGTAGTTCTGGACAGACTTGTCACAGTTAACATCAGTTCTCTGTCCTAGAGGCTGCAAACTCAACTTCATATTTTGCAGAATGCTTGCTATTTGTCCAGCTGGATTAATTTTATTAAAGTACAATTCTCTTATCACATTCTAATTCCAAGAAACAAGATGAAGAATTTAGAGAGCAAAATTAAATTGCTTCCATGTGATTAATTTACATATCCAACTGTTTTGGGCCTATGAAGCCCGCCCAGAGTTGGTGATATATTAAAATACTGATTTCACATTATTTCAAAATTCTTCTTATGCAGGTGACGATTCACAGACCCCTGAAACTTGAGCTTGCTTTCTTTGCAGTGGTTTTTCCAAGGAGCAAATGATGCTTTGTACATGTTCCTTGGGGGAAAAACAACGTTCCAGAAGGCAGCAATGAATAAGCCTTATGCAAATGTAGAAAAGAATATGTAATCTCTTTTACCTTTTGCACATTTCCAAGTAGCTTTCCGTAGCAGTTAAAACAACTACACAGTTCTAGTTCAGAGCTCATTTCCTATTTCACAGACACTATTCTGTTTGGGGAGGCTCTGAAAGAAACGTACCAGTTTCTCCATTTTCATTAACTTGACGTCCTGTTGGTGCAGCTTCTCATTCTTGATCTCCAAAACAGCTTTCAGGCTTTCTAACTCTTGCTCCAGATACATGATATGAGGGTTTTTCTGGAAAAGACAACAGTCTATAGCTCTGACTTATCATTCAACATAATCACATAGTTCAAATCCTTAACATAAAAATCTTTGATTAGATTTAGAAATTAGACAAGCAAGAAGAAGCCAGAGACTTCCACCTTGGAGCAGTTTCAAAGAAAGGTGAAAAAAAAAAGGGGGGGTTAGGATAACTTTAACCTCCAAGTTGTTGGTTATAAGCATGAAATAAAAGATTTCATATTTGAAAGCAAACATTTCACTCGTTTATCAGTAACTTAATGGAAAAAATACTGTAGCATCAAGTATTTCATAGGAAGTTGGAGAAAAACCATTGCTTATGATACAAAACAGAACTCTAGCTAAAGATCAGGCAATTCCAAGTCTTTTTACTGGTGTTTGGAGGGGGAAAGGGAACAACAGTTCTCTCTTAGCAAAGTCAGTAACTGATCAGGAATGAAAAGGCAGTACATACAGAGGCAGCCAAAAAAATGGATTCACATTTTAAGAAGGGAAAAAAACTATTAAAATTGTAATACTCAATATATACTGATAACAAAAGATGAATACAAGTCATGTGTGTGCATTTTTTTGGCACCCATAGTACATAGGGCTCTCTGGAAAAAAACAGAAATGACGATGTCCTGCGTCTTTTGGATTTTTATTATGATGGGACTACGTTGGCCTGGCCATTCTTCTAGGGCAGCCATAACACACTATCATTTTATTTTGTGACAGCCCAACACCTACACAGCATATAGTGCATGCATGACTAAAAGTCTATCCAAAATCAACAACTGTATAAGGGGAAATATCTTCTTAGTGCCCAACACCAGAATAGACTCCCCGACTCCCTACTTTATTTATGGAAATTCAAGTGAACCATCTGAAATGCATGATACAAATGAACAGCACAAGATCTACTGATCAGATGTTTAATGAGGTAATTTCTTAGAAATCAGTGGTGGAGATGATCAGTACTATCCACCTGGGCAGTGGTGACTGCTCTGGACCAGTCCTTAGGGAGCATCAGGGAGTGGGCCCTTGGGCGATACTTAAACCTCTCACTTCACAGAAGGAGAATGCAGGTGCCATAGCTCAAGTGACCTGCTCAGGGAACACACTGGAGCTGGAAGTACTGGGGCAGGGACTTTTACTACAGGGTTCTTCCATACATTTCATGTTTCCTATACCATTATCCTTTTACATAGTATATATATACTATATATATATATATATATATATATATATATATATATATATATATATATATATATATTCTTTTTCACCCTAAAGATAGCAAATCCTATCTCATTTTTGTTAAAACGGCATCATTTACTATCAATTTTTAAAATCAGAAAATTTACAGCCTTGTTACCACTGCACTTTTTCCTGCTTCTCTGCCAGCCTGACCCTTTCTTTCTCCCTTACTCTCATATGTGCTTTGTTTCCCTACAACCTCACAGGCCTGGACAGAAGGGAGGCATTACATAGTCCTGCTTGTAATGCCTCCTCAGTTTCCTTGCACTCTGAGCAAGCGCTTGAAAATCTATAACCCAAACCACTAGTAAGGTTTACATTCTGCAGGTTAAGTCTAGATTTTTTTGAAATCACTATTCTTTCCAAGACTCTTCCAGAATAAATAGCTTTGAAGTTTCACTGAGTGACCTCATCTAATTGTATTCAAATGTCTACAGGGTCTCCGAATGAGGTTATCAGCAAAAGGGCTCACTGAGAGCTCACACATGTACTTCATGAGCTGGCAACAGGTTTTAAGTTGCAGAAAAAGCTTTGCTTCTGCAGTCTCAAGGCACCAATACATGGAATGGTGGTACTAAAAACAGAAGCAGTAAAAGCAATTTTTTTTTCTCAAAGGGGTGGGGTTGGGGAGTAAGAACCCAAGTTACAAGAGAAAGTTGAACTTACAAGAGAAATTTGTACTTCTCAAAAGTGAGAATTATCCATACAATGAAATACTGTTCAGCCATAAAAAGGAATGAAGTACCTATGCATGCTACAGTATGCGTGACCCTTGGAAACATAAGTGAAAGAAGCCAGACACAGAAGACCACATACAGCACGATTCCATTTATGAAATGTCCAGAAGAGGCAAATCCATAGGGACAGAAAAGCAGCCTGGTGGCTCCCTAGGGCTGGGGCTTTGGGGGGAAATGGGGAGTGACTGCTAATGAGTACAAGGTTTCGTTTGGGATGATAAAAATGTTCTGGAATTAGATACTGGTGACCAATGCACAATTTTGTGAATATACTAAAACCACTAAATTATACATTTTAAAAGGTATATAGGTTATATCTCAATAAAGCAGTTCAATTAAAAAAGTGAAGTCTTCAAATAAAACCCTGACCCTAAATGATAGCTTTCTTGTCTTCCTGTAGGTATTAGCTTAGACCACTTGCAATACACAGAGGGTGCCCGAAAAAAAATGTATACTCATTTTAAGAAAGGAAAAAATTATTAAAATTGTCATACTTAACATATACCTATAACAAAAGATGAATACAAGTCACATTTGACTTCTGCAATTACAAGAGGTGCTCAAAGTGGTTACCATCAGCGTCCGACACTTCTGATTATGGCGAACTACTGCTTGAGCAACATTGGCCAAAGTGTCCACTTTGTATACATTTTTATGAAAGCCCCAGTATATTAAACTTCATCTGTATGTCAGTTTTTAGGATTTAAAAAAGACACCACTAAACAAAGAAGCGTTTCTATACAGTTTAAAAAGCATACTGCAACATATGAAAAGGATTCCAAACCCATGTCATTTCTCTAGCTGCTGAACACTAATTGACTCTAAATGGCAGCTAAGCAGAAGAGAAGCTCAGTAGTGACATAGGACCACAGATAACTTACTAAATTTGCTTTCTCTCTTGATAGTCTTTTTTGTTCTTCAGATTTCAACTTTTCATTTAAAGCCTCGTTTTCACTCTTCAGATCACTGATTTGTTTCTAAAACACAATGAAATGTGGAACGTAAGTTAACAAGCAGACACCAGAAACATAGCAAATATGCACAGAAACATACCAACACCACACAAACCTCAAACCTCAAGAATAATGATTTTTTTGTTTGTTTGTTTGTTTTTGGTATTGAGATTTACCCACCTCTAGGGATTCCTGCTTTTCATAAAGCAAATCCTCAAGTGATTTCTTTTCTAATTCATGGCTTTTCTTGATTTCTGGAAAGAAATGATATTTTTTGAACATCCTAGGAAATCATTGTATTCTGTAGTTGTTAAAGCACATAGAGGTAAGAGTTGATTATGCAATAATATGACTATGTTACTTTATATTTGTATGATGCGTTTATATAAATTAATCTATTCTCAGATTAGCCCTATAAGGTAAGGTAAATACTCCCATCTTATTACTGGGAACACTGAGGCCCTCAGAGGACAAGAGATCATGCAATCCCTAGCACATGGGAACACAGGGCAGACCTCTCAGGGGAGCGCCTCAAACCCTGGCCTGCAGACTCCTTGTCTGCAGCTCCCGTGTTCTTTTCTATTTGCATTTCATGAACCCAACAGAAATCTAAAATTAAACCCATTTCTAGCAGGAAGGAAGAAAAACAATGTTTTCTAAACATCTACCCCAGGCCAGTCACTTTTACTTGCTATCATCTCGGACTTCACACAATAACTCTATTTTTCTGATGAAAAAGGCATTTGCCAAAGGTCACACAGCCCGTTTTTAGCACACATCACACACTTCTCTGCAGGATACAAGGAGTTTAGTGTCAAACTTCAGCTACACAGCCAATTACGCCCTGAATGAAATGGCTTCTTATTCTGTTCCTTCTACTTCGATTCTTCCAACCATGATGAAATAATTTAAAAGATTCTTTATTCAACAATATGAAATCTACATTTCACAGCAATGTTGTGCGCAAGAGGGTTGGTGAGCAACAGTGCCTTGTGTGGTTCTTATACCGTGGCCAGGATATAAACTAACACCTCAACCCCGGGGACCTACAGTGGTAACATACAACTACTACCTAAAAGGCCTTTAAGTTCTTTAAAGGCTCACCTATTTCCTAAAATGCTGTCATTTATAACAAACTATTATTCGCATCCTTAGGAGAAAGGGCAGTTGCTAACAATGAACAATGCAAAAAGAAACCAAAACACTCCACACAGAATGCCCCAGGGAATTCTCCGGAAAGGGAAGTTATGAATCATTTCCCTTTTAAAACATATCACACTGTTCCATTAGATCTTATTCTATTTAAATAGAAGTAAAGGACTCTTGCCTGAAAGGGAGGTTTCATAGGCCGCCTTTAGCAATTCTACTTTCTCTGAGTGGCTAGCTTCAATTTCCAATTTAGATGTTTCATGGGCAGCATTTAAGTTGTCAAACTATAAGAAAAAAAAAAGAACAATAGTTTACCAGTAAAATCAAATGTCCTAAGTTAAATAATAAGCTGCAACATTAGGAAACTTGGCACATAAGACTACATTCAAGTTGAAGGGCTACCTAACGCATGGAAAGAACCACCCAACTTGGATTTGCCACTCCCAGGCCTCCACTGCGTCCAGCTCAGGAACACACACACAGTCTCCCAGGGCTCACTGATGGGAATGGCCAATTCCAGGACAAGGAATGAGGATTTGTTTCCCAGTGACAGGGCCACAGAGGCTCCACGTCTGTCACATTGACCTCTCTGTCCTCAGTCCCTAACACATGGCATACAGTAGGCACTCTGTAAATACTTGCTAAATGAAAAAACTGATTTAAAAAGAGAGCAAAGAAATTAAATAGTGGCTTATGATATACTCTTAAGTGAAAAATATGGGTTATTAAGCAAGTGCCATTTTAAAAAAGAAGAAGAAATGCAAACCAATGGTTTAGCAGCCCAACACCAGAATGCTCAAATAGGGATTCATTCTAGGTAGTAAGGTAAAGGGTTGTTTTAATTTTTTTCTTCCCTTTTGCTCAACAGACGTACATTGCTTTGATCATAAGAAAAAATTTAATTAAAAAAAATTCTTTATACATACTTATTTAAATAAAACAAAGCTCAGCAAGGGATGGTCAACCAAGAGAAGGTCATGACTGGAGTTTGAGTATCAAATAATAAGAATTCATATAAATAGACAGGACCAAGAACATGCTCAGGTTCCAAAGGCACAGACCTGCTCCTGCAATTGTGTTTTATACTTCTCTGCTTCTTCAATGTAAATGTTCTGAAACTTTTCACACTCCCCGGTGTAAAATTCTTTCAGCCGATTCTCTAGCTCTGTTAGGTCAGTCTGGTGCTGCTGATTCAGCTTCTGGACAAACCCTTCATAAGCTACTTGCAACTCATTCCTGGCTTTTTCTAACTTCTCACAGGTGGTTGAAGCAGTGACTGAAAAGAGATGGAAAAGATAAGTTAAATGTCCTAAATTCATAACATTCATACACAGCTGTGATGACTCTGGAGGCATAAACACAGTACGTCTCAGTTCTTTGGTGACCAGATGTTCAAACCTAATAGTTTACAAGTGAACAGTAAAAAAGAAACAAGGGGTCATGGTCTCTGGCAGTGTGCGTGCATGCG